AACATCAGTCTCTCCTTTTCATTCTGTATAAAGAATGACAAGAATACACTGTTATCAAATAGGGTAGTTGACACTTTATGAAAATATGTTTTAAATGGTTAATAATTGTTATATTAGACCGAAAAAAATGTATTGTAGTAATTATCATGATTGTATTATGAGAGAATGTAGAATCACAACGTTAAAGACTCCAGAAAAGTTGTGGTTTAAATTGCCCAGAGAAATAAACATATCTACACATGAACACATGTTTAAAACTTGCTAAATCCTGTTTATCGACTGAAAGTCATTTCTTTTTGCAAAGATCACTTCGGTGTAAGTACTGATTAAATAATATTTTAAGTTTAAAAATATTTTTTTAAGTTTATTAATGTACCTACTAAGTAAGAGAGCTTTGTCGTTTCTGATTTTACAAATTCGGCGTCCAGCATTAATTTAGTCAACAAAACCAATAAACGGAAACTCTTCTACAAGATATAAGATTAAGATATATTTTAGTCCGACGAAAGAAACCATAGTAACACAACAATGACGTTTAGTTGTTTACAAATTTTATGACGTCACAATCATGGCGGACAGCGTTTTCAGTGTTTAAAAAGTATAGACTAAAAATATTTTTTTTTTCAAATTACATTACTACAGCCATCTTCTGATTTTATGAAGTGAAATCGATGTATTTAAGTTCCTCGTACCAAAAACTATAAGAAATAAACATTTGTATAGTTTATAAGTAACGGAAAATATGCTTCCCTATTTCAGTGAGTTATGTTATTTTGCAAATTTGTACAAATTAAAAGAAAATACGTAGGTTTTGGGACTGAAGTTAGTAGGTTTGCAGAAAAGGCCTAAAATACGTAGATCTACGTAAAAAGACGTAGAGTTGGTAACACTGCCTAGCACGAACCAATATCGAAATCGAATAGTTTGCGAGTGCGAAATGTCAATGTCAAATTTTGTATGGTAACTCGAGCAGCAGTGACACAACGGAAGTAACGAAAATCACTACCTACACATTTGACGTTTATCTGGATGTAATTCAACTATTAATATCGTTGATTCTAATTCGATAATAGTTCGTGCTGAGGGTACTGATATCGCAATAACGCATCCGATATTATTGATCAAAAAATAATGCGCATAGAAGTTTTCTCAATATTTTCTATATTATTAATACCATTTTTTAAATATTTTTTTAAGATAAAATTACCTTTGTTAGTATTTGTTCCAACTAAAACCTTGAACTTTTGGTATCACACAGACTCACAGACTATGATAGCTTAATTTTGCCCTTGCCTGCGGCTGTGCGTCTCAGAGGAGCATGGGGGAAATTTATTGTTATTAGTTACTTACGTTCATTTTTGCCTTTTCGACTTTCTTTATCCGATTTGGATTGTCTAGGGATTGGAGAGAGGGTATCTCTTTATGACATTTACTATGTGAAACTTGCTCGTTCTTAGTAGGTTCAAATAAGTAGGTTTGTTACGAGAAGAGGTGGGTAAGGGCTGCCAGGCCCATTGTTTTGAGGGCAGTTGTGGTGCGAATTTTAAACCATTTAGGAATTTTAAAAATCCTGACATAGTCCTGACAATTCGAAAAAAGTCCGGACTTTTTAGTCACAAAATGGTACCATTACTCTCTTAGTTACAATGTTATGGTATTTAAATCAATTTGTACTTTTATTATTCATAGTCAATGTAGATGGCGGGATAACGTGTCGTTCGCTGCTTTCCCAAGCACGCTTCTATAGCTCGGTACGTACGGGAGTCAGGGGGTCAGGGCAGTCAGGGGCGTTAGGGGAGTCAGGGGTCAGGAGCGTCAGGGGGTCAGGAGCGTCCGGGGGTCAGGAGTGTCTGGGGGTCAGGAGCGTGTGGGGGTCAGGGTTTAGAGAGGCAGGGGGAGAGGGGGTCATGGGTCTGAGAAACCTTGATGATTGATGAATGACAATTATATCACATAACATGACGTTACACTTTATCTAGCGTCACCGGCTGCACGCCTTATAAGACGTTATCACGCCAAAATAATTGGTACCCACGTATCCTAAAACGACAGGCATTTGGTCGTTCAATTCTTTCTGATTACACAACTTCGATTTTCACATCTGGCTAATTGCTAATTCAAGCAAGCAAGTCCTTTTCAATTTTGATACAGCTACGAGTTAGTAAGGGGGTGAATCTATGCACAATAAGTTTAAAGAGAAGAGTTCTCGACACTCTTTAGAAGTACTTTCTCTTGCTCTTGTCGTCAAGTGGTAGGGTAGTTCATATTCTATTGTAAAAAAACCCTTTTGTGTGGGTTGCCCCAGCTAAGTACTTTTATGAGTACCACATTTATCAAGTGCGACAAATTGTGATTGGGCTTTGATGGTATCGATTTGTAGAAAAAAAACCGGACAAGAGCGAGTCTGACTCTTTCGATCTTACGAACTCTTTTTTACATTTACTTAGAAGTTTTTCACAGCTTCAAGGGACCGTAGACCTGAATATATGTTTTAAATTTCAACTAATTGTCTCCACGCTTTTTGATGTTTAAAAGCAGGGCTTGAAACCGGTTCCGAAAATATCGGTAAATAAAGGTTAATACCGGCTTTTAGTAAAGGTTTCGTTCGGAGCGCGTCCGTAATGAAAGCGGTACCTAAAACCTTAATAAACCAGTTTAAAAGTTTTGTTTGAATTAATCAAGTCACAACTTGTTAATGCTCAGAGATTGATGCATTTATTGACACGATTGCTAGCGTCTACTGAGTCAAGTTATTCATTTATTATCGATGCCGTCAGAAAGAGCAAAATGAAACCCCTTAAAAACTGCTAAATTGATTGAAAACCTATTTGATTTCGCTCTTTAGGAAAACCGATTTTTTAAGGTTAAGGTAAATAAAACAAGCCTAAATAAAACGCTCCTAACGTACTTGCTTTTAATACGTCGCTCTTAGCTCATTCTTGCAACGTCGTGGCTGTATGTAAGGCTTTGTACTATGAGCTTTCCCGTTGTAGAAAAGAACTAGAGATTTTTAGTGCTAGAAGCAATGTACAATAAATATTTAAGCTTATCAATAAAGTGGAATTAAAAGTACTTTATTCTGGACACAATGTACTTTTTTTATACTTTTAATATCCAATGTTCTTTATTTGGACAAAAAAAAGGTGGCAACCCTAAATGACGCCCGTATCTTTTTTTTGCGTTAACTTAGAAGTTCGTTTTTTTCATAGCTTCAAGGGACCATACACCTAAGTACATGGTTTAAATTTCAACTGGACCAAACGTTCCTAACTAATATAACGGGTCTTGACAGACAGACGGACAGTCAACAAAGTGATCCTATAAGAGTTCCGTGTTTTTCTTTTGAGGTACGGAACGCTACAGCGCGCTTAGCATCTTTCTATACATACATTTTATGGAAGAATAAGTGAGTAAGTTCTTTCTATTCTATACATTTTATGGAAGAATAAGTGAGTAAGTTCGCCATAAATTCTCAATAACAGAAAAAAAAACAGTTGTTAAAATCTACTGAAACACGACACTCGGTAACATCCATAGGACATACTAATATTATTTAAAAAGGTGAAGTGTTTGTTTAGCTGAACGCGATAAACTCGGGAACTACTGGTTCGAATTAATATAAATCATTTGGTGTTGAATAATACTCCATTCATTGAAAATGAATAGTTTAAAAAATATTTAAGAAAATAGATAAAAATTTACCTCCCCCCTCCACTAATATTTCCGAAACTACTGCGCCTCAAACATTAAAAAAAACGGGATGTAGCTCTTTGCTTATAGATAACATGAAAACCTATAAGAACTTTATATGTAGTTACTTATTTAAATAAAATGATATGTTACGGAATCGTTCGTGTGCGAGTTCAAAACTGCGGGGCACAGCTGTTAAATAATTGACGACCTCCATGACCGAGTGGTTTGTACGCCAGGTTTCATGGTGTTGCCGACTCGAGAGGTCCCGGGTTCAAATCCCGGTGGGCGCAGATGTTTGTGTGATGAACACGAGCATTTGTACTCCAGTCATGGATGTTTAATATGTATTTCTATATAAATATACTTATATATGTACTGTATATGTATTCTATCCGTTACCCTAGCATCCTATAACACAAGCCTTACAGTGCTTACTTTAGGGCTAGGCTGATTGGTGTGAGTGTTGGAAATATTATATTATTAAATGAGCGGACGCGAGCTGAGAAACATTTGAGAAATAGGTATTTGAAAAAGCTATTGCTATCGTCGCGCATTGGCAAATACCGTGCGATAGGGACAACGGTAGATAACGCTGAAAATTGCGTATAAAAATTGCACGATTCGAGGTTCGGTTCTCGACGATTTCCTGCTCAAAAATTAAATAGGTAAATTTAAAAGAAAATTTACCCATAGAAAAATAAGTAGTTATACTAGGCCTTTATGTTTGCTTTTTTGTAAATGCATATTGAATCTCCACACTAGACGTCTTAAGTAGTTAAAAAATAATTTATTTTTGGCATTTTTGAGGGCTTCTAGTCTTTTTGAAACACAGTTATCGAAAAATGAAAGAGTTAAATTACATATATTTTATGTATGAAATCATTTCTTATGGGATAAAACTGAAGGAGAAATCAGTTGAGAATGTTTGTATGGACAACACATTATTTATTTATTTATATTGGTTAAAAAACGTATTCTATAATTATATTTGTATCAAATCAACTTTAAAATCATGAATCGCGTCGCCACTTTGTGTCGGTCTTTTGCCGTCGTATTTTATATGAAGGTCAACGACCTTACGTTCAAAGCGGCAGTGGCGGCGCGGCGGGCGTCGGCATCCGCGAGTCAGCCAGCTGTTCACAATGTGACCGTGCGGGAATGAGTGAGCGGTCGTCCGTCACGTTTTCGCATGGTACGTCCAATGCGTTTTCGCTCTGTGTCTCGCTCGCTCACACACCGCGCGCATCGCATGTTTCCCCCGTCCCCCTTGCCTCTTTACCCGCGTCGCTACGCCATATCGCGAGGCCCCGCATTCTCTTCAGTCGCGTCCAGTTTCGTGTGTGTAGTGAGCTAGTGAGTGTTTATTATTACATATAACTATTTCGGAATGGCAAGATGGAACCGTCACGTGTGAATATAAAAAAGCGTAGAATTTCTGTGAAACTGCAGGAATCCACTGATACGTCTAAGATGAAGACTAATGAATTTGATGATACAGAAGCTTTTACCAAGTACTGCGCTGAATTGAGGAGTTTACATAATAAAGATCCAAACAGTTTTATAAATCTTGTTACTAAAAATATGGTACATGAAACATTAAAAAAGGTTAGTGTAGCAAACCGGAAAGTAGAATCGAATTTGCCGTTATCAAAAAAGGAAAAAAATCTGTTGAAAATTTATGATATTGTGGATGGTAGTGATGATGGTGAAACATCATTCCTCGTTATAAATAGTATGGTAACAGAGCATAAAGATCAGAAACTAAGACGAGTCATATCCTGTGAAGAGGCTTTTTCTGTTATCCTAAATATTCACAGGAAAGGTAGGCATTGCTCCTTCGGTGCATTGAAGTTCAAATTGAGTGAATTAAATTTATATATTTATGAGGAATCATTCTGTATAAGCCTGGTAATAAATTTATGTAGTATATGTACCCCAAAATTCAATACAAAATCTTACATTTACGTTGCTCGGACGATAGAACAGGACGGAGAGTTTAAATATGTGCTAACTTTAGTTGATGACTGTACCAAATACATTCGTTTAAGACCACTTACTTCAGTAACAGAAAGTGAGATAGCAATTGAGTTATTTAAAACTTTCATGGATTTTGGAATCCCTAAATATATATTTTCCCCCTTAAGTGCTTCATTGGAGAAAGTGTTTACAATTATGAAGTCCTTGTGTCCGGATCATTCAATGCCAATAATACAAAAGTGCGGTGGTGTTTCGGGAAATTTTCAATCCCTTATTTTAAATAAACTGGAGGAGTATAGGATAGAGAAAGGGATAACAAATTGGGCGATTTTATGCCATATGGTGCAATGGAATATTAATACGACCACGCATTATGAAAACGTCCTGCCATACCATGCTGTTTTTGGTCGACATGTTGTTTTAAATATGCCTAATGTCGATGTAAAAGTTTATGATAACGCAAAGTTAATAAAAAGTTTGACTAAACTGACCAAACCAAAAGTTAATTTAATACCTTACCCTATTTACATTACCCCGTTTGGCAAGATAAAACATATTTTGGAAAAGAATGATGGACTAAAAGATACTATAATAACGAACAATATGTTGGAAAAGAATAATATACAAGACAATACAATAAAGGGCAAGATAAACAATATTTTGGAAAACAAATATGATGATAATGATGATGATAATACCAAAGCAAGCGAGAAGACCAAAAATGACACAGTGAGCTTCGAATCTCTGAACATTTCTCATAGTAATTTCGATTCAACAGAACCTATTATTGACCTAACTGAAGAAAACGATACCCCAAATAACAAAATGGGGGGTGATAATCAAAGCCTCGAAGAAAAAACGAATATTCAGTCTCGACGATGTCACACTTGCAGAAAGCCAATTGAAAATATCAAAAAACATTACCTACAAAAGAAGTCTCCACCAATGCTTTGTATTGGGTGTGTTCAAAAAATGTGGAAAGTGTTTAAAGTGCCGCCGGCGCCGCTCCCACGCCCTGCCCTCGCTGTTCCTTCCAGTTCGATGTCTAAGGAGACAATGGATTTTGAAGAGGAAATTGAAAAAACAACTATTATTATTAAAAAATAAGTACCTTAAGGAAATGATTTATTTATTTTTATATAACGTAATATCTTTAATGTCCTAATAGCACTAGGTATTCATAAATAAACCTTCCAATAAATAAAAATAAAAGAAGGTACAAACCCTTGGTTACCCTTACAAAAATAACTTACCCTTGCCTTGTTTTACCTTAGCCAATTCTATACGCAACGTATTCCTCATTGAATTAAACGATCGTGTCACGGTCAGACTTCCTGTGCATTTTTTGTACTGTTTTTTTATGTTATGAAATTCTACATAAAGATGCCGTTACCTTATACCTAACAACAAAATAAGACAATACGTTACAAGCATTCAATTAAAAATGACGCCAATGAGTAAAATGGTCATAAGTACAAGACTGGCCATAATTTTTAAGTCATAAGTTCGCATTATTCTTACAATTTCCCTCTCTTTGTGGACGGTGCTTTATAGTGACATACTTCGGGGCGTTCACCTCGCTAAAGATATCGCCTCGTACATTCAGCTGTTGACGTAATTTTTAGTTCTATTATGATTGCCGCATCAATTTTTCTGTCAATAAAGTTTAAGCCAGACAAATAGATAGTATTACAATAATACTAGTATCACCTTTTTTTTTTTTTTTTTTTTTTTTTTTTTTTTTTTTTTTTTTTTTTTTATAGTTAGGTCCGACAAATGACTCCACCCCACCTGATGTTAAGTGAAGGTGAAGTCCAGACGCGAAGATAGCTGATACAGCAGTTCTACCTGCCACACCAGCCATCCTCACCCTGCCGGCCTGCATGTTGCTTCTTCACGCCTCTTTTAAAGGATCCCAGGTTGTAAGAGGGAGGGAACACGTGAGCGGGCAGAGCATTCCATTTACGGATAGTGCGACAAAGAAATGAGTCACCAAATTTCTTTGTACGCGTTGGAATTGTGGCCACAGTAAAACGGTGACAACGTAGGCCAGCGCGCGTGGTCCTCTGAAGGAAAGGGGAAGGTGGGATAAGAGAGAATAACTCCTCAGAACACTCGCCGTGGTACAAACGATAAAACGCGCTTAGTGACGCCACGTCACGGCGTAATTGAAGAGGCTCAAGGTGTTTAGTCACCTCCTCATCGCCTATGATGCGGATCGCGCGCCGCTGTAACCTATCCAAAGCATCGAGCAAGTATTTGGCGGAGCCATCCCAGAGGTGCGAGCAATATTCCACGCAGGACCGCACTTGCGTTTTGTACAACAAGCACAGTTGATCGGGCGTGAAAAAACGCCGCACCTTGTTCAGGACTCCGAGTTTGCGTGAAGCTGTTTTTATCACGGTTTCGATGTAGTCCTTTGGATTCAGGTCTGAGCGAACTTCCATACCGAGCATGGAAATGTCGCTCTGCAGCGGTAGTGTTGTGCCCTGAAGAGATGGAAGGGGAAGGTTAAGTTTAGTTTTATTTCTACGTTATTTATTAAAAACAATATTCTAGAGCAAGTCTGCTGCTCGCGATAGTTAAATTAAGTATTAAACCAAGATTTGCAGGCGGTTTTCACCATCATTTTGATTAATTTATGACGTCAAGGCCCTATAAGGTTCCCATATTAACGCAAGATTTGAATAAAATTAAATAAATAAAGTTGTTGGTCTGTTAATAATAATTGTCTTTATAAACGGACCAACAAATGAACAATCAAAATACTAAAACTACACAAATAAGTACATACTTTCTATTTAATTAAAATGTTGCGTGAATTTTTGGAAATCTGTATATATATATAAATATATGATGTAGCTATCTACCTATATCTCTTCTATATTTAAATGTATGTTTATTCAATTCAATTCATTTATTTCAGCCATTTAGCCATATCAATTACATAAAAACAAGAATAATAATAATAATTAACTAGCGGCCGCCCGCGACTTCGACCGCGTTAACTTTTAGTTTGTTTTTCCAAACTAAAATAATGTTTCTTCAATAAAAGTAGCCTAAGTTACTCCTTATTACAACAGCTACCTGCCAACAAAAGTCCCGTCAAAATAGATCCAGCCATTTCGGAGATTAGCCGGAACAAACAGACAGACAGACAAAAATTGAAAAAAAAATGTTATTTTGGTGTATGTAACGTATTATTATATTTTCATATGCATGTAGTAAAAAGCGGTTATTTCAATATTACAAACAGACACTCAAATTTTATTTGTATGTAGATGTATAGATCAGGGCTTGTAACCGGTTTAGAAAATACCGGTAAATAAAGGTTAATACCGGTTTTTAGTAAAGGTTTCGTTCGGAGCGCGTCCGAAATGAAAGCGGTCCTAAAACCTTAATAAACCGGTTTAATCCACAGCGACACGTGCACGCGTCGGCATCGCTTGAAGTTTGTTTTGTTTGAACTAATCAAGTCACAACTTGTTAATGCTCAGAGATTGATGCATTTATTGACACGTTTGCTAGCGTCTAGTGAATCAAGTTATTCTTTTTGTAGTTGTGTACTTATTTCACATTTTCAAGTGAAGCATGGGCCGTAAGAGGAAGAACAAAATATATAGTTATTTTGATTACGATAAAGAAATAAATAAATCCAAATGTCTAATTGAAGGATGCGGGCTAACAATGAAGGTAAGTTTTTTTATTGAATCCTTGTTTATGACTTATCGTCGTGATAATTAAAATCAAAATTATCTTTCGAGTTTATATAAGTTATCCTAGCCGTGATGTCGTCCGCGATAAAATATTTTTAAAATAAGGGCTGTTAAATTGTTTAAATTTATATTTTTTTAGTCTTAATAAGGACTTATCACTAAATATTTATAAATATTAATACCTATTTTATAAAACAAAACTGTCTTCAAACTAAAAAGATTAAATTAACATAATAAACATGACTAATAAGTTAGCTTTGGAGTCTAGTCCAGTCAATGAAAGCTTAACTTAGCCATTTTGAGTTGATCACCTGCAACCAACGCGAAAATTTCCGTAAGGGTTCGTAGATTAATATACTAAAATTGCAGGGTGCTGCATTGTCGGCAAAGGGTGCAAAAACATTGCGAAATGGTGCAAAAACGAGTTTTTCGTCAATATCTCGCGACTGGCTGGGAAAATAGAAAAAGTTCCTAGTACAAAGTTGTAGAAAATTTAATTTCCTACAAAAAAGGTATTAACATATTTTCGCGTATCTCCCATAGTTTTTGCACTAAATGCAATTAAAGGTGCAAAATAATAATAAAATAATAATATATGGATACTCGTTATTTTCCATTTTAAAACGACCCTACGGGTCAAATTCAACAATCATCACTTACTGAAATATTAAAGGATAAGTTTTCGAGAGTCCACTGAAATGAAAAGTGTCTACCGAAATGGTAAAAAAAATGACCACCGGAATGATACAGTCAAGAACATCGCCTTTGTAATAGAAGGGTTCCCTTCTTTGAATCTAAATAAATTTCCTTATTTCTTGTAAATATTTTTGTTCATTATTTTATAATAAGAATTAATTCATTGTGACTCCTATTAATTATTATAACTAATTATAATTATTAATAGATACATTTTCAAAATAACGAACAAAGCGCGTTTAAAATCGAGAAGTTTATTAGTTAGTAAATCGTCCCCTTAGCCCCAAAACCGATTATCTGCACTTTTCCCCTACTGAACTTTTATTATACCAATCGACCCGTCTCGTTAAGCCGCATCTACAGGTAAAACCCATTATGCTCTACAACGCATACTTCCTGAAATAGCTAGTGAAAAAAAAGAATAACTGCAAATTATTTCCAAAATTCTTGATTTAAAACTTAATAAACCCATTCAAAACACATTATGTTCGTTTGTATTATCGCTGAAAACAAGTTTCGGATTTAAACTAATTTTTTGTGTAGACAGAGTAAATATCCTTTGAGATAAAATTAGGTATCCCACGGTAATTGGCTATGACTGTTTGAATTTTACCAGATATTTTAATTTCACGTGACTTGGGGCCCAATTCTCGCGGCATAGATATTATATCACCTTCGATATATATCGAATGATCTGGATTTTAGCGAAGGAAAACTTTTTTGCCCTATTCTCACCATGTCGCAATAGATATTTATCTACGGATGATCAGTAGACATACATCGACTGGTAAAGAGCCTTCGATATATAAATATCTATGGATCTTGGCATGTCAATCTTGTTATTTTCACTTTTTTTACCTATTATTTATTGTGTTGTCGTGTGTCTTTGCCAATTATTGTTACCTCAAGATGTTGTTAACTGCCTTCATAAATAATTAGTAAATAAAGAAGTAGGTAAACAATGGTGTCGATTCTGGCGTGATTCTCTAAACTTAAAACTAAATTTAACATCAGTCTCTCTTTTTCATTCTGTATAGAGAATGACAAGGAAACACTGTTGTCAAGTTTATGTTTAGATTTAGAGAATCGACACCAGTTTATATTAACGATGGATGAGTTGATTCATGTTTTCGCCAATGCTTTAATAAATGACGTGATTGCTGCTGCTGTGCTAAGGCGCCGCCGTTGTGAGAGCAAGAGGACCCATTTGAAATGAGGGACGCCGACTTCATAAAAAAATTACGTTTAAACAAAAATTTGGTTAGAAATCTTTAAAGTTATGAATGACATTGGTATCGATTCTGACACGATTCTCTAAACTTAAAACTAAATTTAACATCAGTCTCTCGTTTTCATTCTGTATGGAGAATGACAAGGATACACTGTTGTCAAATTTACGTTTAGGTTTACAGAATCATGCCAGAATCGACACCATTTTCTTTTTGACGATACGGAGTTTTGGCGGGATTTCTGCGAGTGCGGTTGGCATCTTATTTTAATTATTCTAAAATTCGTTCATAGTGGATATTATGAAATAAAATTGGTGTGATTTGGTGTTACAACCGTCTGCGCAACTGAAGAATTAGTGGAATCTTTAAAATATACGCTATTCCGGTCAAGTGGACGCGAGAAGTTTATTGTAGTGTTGACTACCTCACAGAAGCTTAGAGAAAAAGCCAACTCCATAAATTTCGTGCCAAACACTCCAAGAAACATTAGAATGCGTCACACCGACATTCGAATGTAAAAAAAAGAAGATTAATATAACTAAAGACTAGGCTTTATGGGAATTGTTCCCTTTGCCTTCCCTGAATAGGGAGAATCTTAAATAATATTGACGTTTCATTATACTTAACGTAGAAATTATATACGCATACAATTTAGGTAAAGTTGAGATTTCTTATACTCAAAAAATGTATACTCATATTTAATATGAATGGAATTCATAAAATATCATTTTGTTGCTTGTAAAATTCTGCTCTAATTTATTATTATTTTATATAGACTATGATGTTAACTTAATCGAGAAAAACGGAACGCATTCGGCAGTGAAAGAATATCTACGATAGATATAATATCATTGGAATATCGAAAATCCACGAGAATAGCATTTTTTACCATCAGTAGATATTTTCAATAGATATCCCTACTTTCGATATTATCTCGAAGACGATATAATATCTACGCCGCGAAAATTGGGCCCCTGGTCGGATAAGTTCACGTGACATAGTTATTTGGCATTTTTGGAGTTTATTTTTGATCGTCGTCTTTCTTAGCAGTTATCATTTTAAACCAAAAACGCAGAATAGTTTACCCTGTAATGTTTATTAGTGATTCATTAAATAAAAGAATAACAGTGTTGCCCAGCGCGCGATTCGACAATGAATGAATAAAAGTGAGCAACTCTCTCGCTAGCGCGCGATCTGTGTACGGAAAAGAACAGAAACATGGATAGTTGGTTTTTGCCGAAGCATACATTTTAAACTAACGATGACTAACGCTAATAAATTACAGTGGAAGAAAAGAGTAAGCACCGATAATCGATTTTAGCTGAAGTATTTTATAAAGAGTCGAATAAAAGTTATTCAGTAAAAACAAATTGAAAATCGGTATCTTCTTTTACTTGTCTCAAATATAACGCAAATATGTATAGTATATATTTTTTTGTAAAAAGCGACTTAGATTTGTTAGTTCATCTAGTAAAATTAAAATATCTGGTAAAATTCAAACAGTCATAGCCAATTACCGTGGGATACCTAATTTTATCTCAAAGGATATTTACTCTGTCTACACAAAAAATGAGTTTAAATCCGAAACTTGTTTTCAGCGATAATACAAACAAGCATATGTGTTTTGAATGGGTTTATTAAGTTTTAAATCAAGAATTTTGGAAATAATTTGCAGTTATTCTGTTTTTTCACTAGCTATTTCAGGAAGTATGCGTCGTAGAGCATAATGGGTTTTACCTGTAGATGCGGCTTAACGAGACGGGTCGATTGGTATAATAAAAGTTCAGTAGGGGAAAAGTGCAGATAATCGGTTTTGGGGCTAAGGGGACGATTTACTAACTAATAAACTTCTCGATTTTAAACGCGCTTTGTTCGTTATTTTGAAAATGTATCTATTAATAATTATAATTAGTTATAATAATTAATAAGAGTCACAATATTTACAAGAAATAAGGAAATTTATTTAGATTCAAAGTAGGGAACCCTTCTATTACAACGGCGATGTTCTTGACTGTATCATTCCGGTGGTCATTTTTTTACCATTTCGGTAGACACTTTTCATTCCAGTGGACTCTCGAAAACTTATCCTTTAATATTTCAGTAAGTGATGATTGTTGAATTTGACCCGTAGGGTCGTTTTAAAATGGAAAATAACGAGTATCCATATATTATTATTTTATTATTATTTTGCACCTTTAATTTCAATTTGTGCAAAAACTATGGGAGATACGTGAAAATATGTGGATACCTTTTTTGTAGAAAATGAAATTTTCTACAACTTTGTACTAGAAACTTTTTCTATTTTCCCAGCCAGTCGCGAGATATTGACGAAAAACTCGTTTTTGCACCCTTTGCCGTCAATGCAGCACCCTGCAATTTTAGTATATTAATCTACGAACCCTTACGGAAATTTTCGCGTTGGTTGCAGGTGATCAACTCAAAATGGCAAAGTTAAGCTTTCGTTGACTTGACTATAATGAATTATCATTCAATTTTCTTTACTTTCTAGCACCGATTCGAAATCTAACATATTAAAGCATGTTTATTGTGTTATTTAAATCTTTTTTAGTTTGAATTACTTTTATTTTTTTATTCAATTAGATGTTTGTACCAGTACAGTCTAAATTTCAGATTCCTTTACTTGGTGTATTTATAAGGTATAATTGTTTTAACGCAAAAGTCTAAATTAGTTTGGACAGTAATATATCAAGAACTGTTATGGCTACATTAATGAAATATGGATTCTATTCAATCATCATCATATTAATCTAAGGGGTTCTAAGAAATATATCAAATTTCATATTTCGAGTTAAGAATTGGGTCAAGAGTAGCTCGAAATTGAAAAGGCGTAAGACACTACTGTGTGTCTAACTAATATTAGTAAAATATTATAACATAATGAACAATTTAATATGCATTGCTGGATGATTCCAGTTCGGATTAATATCCAAACCCCTATTTTATCACTTAGACCAGGAATTCACCACTTAGCTATCACTGTTTATTTCATTTTGTATCTCTACTTCACTTATTTTTCAGGGAAATCATGGATCCAATTTACTTCGCCATTTCTATACACAGCATCGAACTAAATATGACGAATTAAAAAAGAGGGTGGAGCTGGAAAAACAAAATGACCTAACTACAAAAACGGAATCCTCTACTACTTTAACAGTAATTGACAATTGTGTAAATTTAGTCGCTGTGCATGGAAGACCGTTTACTTTATTACAAGATGAAGCATTCCAAAACTTGATCCAACTAATACCAAATATGAATAAAAGTTACATCAGTCCCACAAACATCAAGACTAAAATCGAAGAAAAAGCTTATGAAATTCGACGTCAAATCTATAAGGAAACAGAAAACAAACTTTTATGTTTAAAAGTAGATGTGGCATCAGTTAAATCGCGGAGATTTTTGGGCATTAACTTGCAGTATATTAAAGATGCTACACTTGTTCTGCGTAATCTTAGTGTTTTAGAGCTGCATGAGAGAAACACTGCAACTTTTCTTAAAGATACTATTATAACGGTATTAAGTCGATACGGTATTACAATTAACCAAATATATTCATTGACTTCAGACAATGGAGCCAATATGTTGGCAATGTCACGTCAAATTGCTGATCTTCAGGCTATACTTGACGAAACAGCTGAGGACAAAGATTCTTCTTCTGAAGATAATATTGATTGGGATTATTGGGAATCAGACAATTTACATGGCCACCAACAATTGGTAGATAATCTTAACAACATTGAGTTTGAAGATATCGTTGAACATGAGACGCTTTCCCGAATGACTGCTGTTCGCTGTGCTGCGCATACATTGCAGCTTGCTGTAAAAGATGCATGTTTAGAACTGCAACCATTTCTAGAAGAGTGTCGGCAAGCAGTAAGAGTACTTCGCACACCTAATGTCGCGCTTGTATTAAGGCAAAATAATTTACCACAAGCAATTTTGGACTGCCCTACAAGATGGGATTCCATTGTCAACATGCTAGAAAGGCTGATGAGATTAAAACAATTTTGTTCTACTCACACTTTAAGTTTGCAGATAGAAGAGAACTCATGGACCAAAATTGAACAGAATCTCCAAGCTTTGAAACCTTGCAGAGAGTTATCTAAAACTCTTCAGAAAGAACAAATCATCATGGGAGATTTTTATATAGCTTGGTTAAAGTGTAAATTAGAAGTCGAGAACATGAATACTCCTCTAGCTATACTATTGGGTATATGCATGACCGAAAGAGAGTATCTTCTTCTTACAAATGATGTTTTTTTGTCAGCACTTTATTTAGATCCTAGAGTGAATTCCACGCTTTCAGATGAGCATTGTGAAAAGGCTAGAAATCATCTTATTGCAACATATCAAAGATATCTCACATTGTCTACTATGGAAAGTACACCACGGCAAAATAAGGACTATGGACTAGAAGCCCATGACCTTCCAAATTCAACATCCACATCAGATCAATGTTTAGAATCGGCGTCCAACAATATTGAATCTCAACCATCAAGATCTGTAGAAGAAGGAAATCAGCCTTCAACCTCTTCGGCTATTATTTCTCCGAATGTTAGCATTGACATATTTTTGCAAAGGCAACATAGAGAACGTCGCTACCCTACAGTAAATAACACAGTGCGAGCAGAGCGAGTTCTATTAAACAACTCATTAAAAAACTTTTTGGATGAACCTTTGTTACCATCGAACGCTAATATTCTAGAATTTTGGAAAAATAGAAAAATTACTAATCATCAGCTATATTTACTTTCTCAAATAACTTTAGCTACCCCGCCAACACAAGTTAGTGTCGAACGACTTTTCTCATCTCTGAAGTTTGTGCTGAACAATTTGAGGATGTCTTTGAAAGATTCTAGTGTAGAAGATATATTGGTAGTAAGAAATAATACGTTTTACAATAAGTAACATGTACGATTTATATAAATTAACTAGCTGTTGCCCGCGACTTCGTACGCTTGGAATTAGTCATTTTAAGTAGCCTATTGTTTATCCAATCTGATTTTTCTCAGTCTGTTTACGGTTTGTATTTGAGTCAAGTTTTAAGTCTCTTAGTTTACCCAAGGAATAAGAATTTTCATACAACCTTTCATTAAAACCTAAAACCCCTATTTGAAACCCTTCGGGGGGTGAGGGGGGGGGGGGGGTCCTTCTTAGTGCACCCTTAGACCGTGTACTGTCATACTTTCAATAAAATATTTTTTTCAATTTCTTTCAATAAATAAGAGCGACAGGCGGCCAGCATGCTCCGCCTCCTCGTCTCGCCCGCCGCCGCGCCGCCAGCATTTTGTCTTGCTTGCATCAAGCGCGCGTGGATTTCCTTAGCAGAGTTATTTTAGAAATGTATTTATTATACTCTTCAAAGATCTTATACTTACAATCATTAACAAATATATTTCGAAAAAGATTATTACAGGATTTTATGTTGATCAAAAACTCTATGGCCCATAACTCATTAATAGTTACACAACTCTTAACATCTTACACACGTGATAACTTTTAAACGAAATATCCGATTGAGATGAAACAAAAAGTATTTTACTTCTACATAAATACTCTTGATAACATAATGCTTAATTTCGATAAAGACTAATATTACGATACATATTTAACGTAGTTTTTTTTTCTTCAGACGATTTAATAATTATTTTGAACACAAAATCGGTTATTGTGATTAAACCATGATAGCTAGATATATGTTCTCGCGGACTTTTTTGTAGGTCTTAATGGGATCTACAAACCCGTAGTACATCATTTTGTTCTATTGTCAATAGTTTTTACAGCGCACGCAAAAATAGGTTTTCGATTTTACACCTTGTGTTACAAAATAGCAATTTTATTACGGATCCCTAATTTTGAAAAAAAATAAACATAGCCTATAGCCTTCCTCAATAAAAGGACTATCCAGCACTGAAAGAATCATTCAAATCGGACCAGTAGTTCCAGAGATTAGCGAGTTCAAACAAACAAACAAACAAACAAACTCTGCAGCTTTAAAATATTAGTATAGATTGCGTTAAGTTACAGTAGTACACACACACACACACATCTATTTATTTTCAGTTCTTCATCACACTTTAAATCAAACATATTTTTAAAATAACTGAGCCTAATACAGTAATTCATAAATACCTCCTTTGGAAGAATCAGCACATTGGCCTCCTAGAATATTTAATTTAATCTAGGAGGTCAACGTGCTCATGCTTCAAAAAGATTAACGATCCAGAAACATGGTGTTTTTGGACCATTTTTATATGCTATTGTTGCTCAGTTTCAGCATCTTATTAAGTATTTAGGGTCATTTTAGTAACACCTTGTATGAAGGGTGTAACAAAAAGGGGAAAGGCAAAGTTGTTTAGTTTATGAACACAACTATACCCTGTAATATTATATCGCCTTTTTGTTACACCATATAATTGATAATTAATTTTACGATAATACGATAAATTAAAATAATTTGTTATGCTGAGAATTTCTAAAATAAAAAAAAATAAAAAAAGAATTAAAATTATTGTTAGCATGAAAATCAGAGAAATTTTGAGGTTCCAAAAATGATTGTTTCTATTCTTGATTATGTGTGTTTATTTATGTTTCGAATTCGATGTTTATGTTTTAATGAATCAATATATTTAAGTATGTTTACGTAAGCTTCAGAGCGCATACACGGTGCCAAAAATTGTAATTCGCCAATCAAAAGGTTCCCAAAGTAATAATTTCTTTTGTCAATCTCCTTTTCAAAAATACAGTCAATACACTGATTGCCACTTGTTCTTATTTCTTCATCATTGTCACTTGTAACGTCTTCTTCTTGTCGTTCTGTATCAGAAACTACATCTTCACTTTCAGCATTTATCTTGGTTTCGTTCAGTTTTTTATTTGAAGATTCATTATTTTTCTTTATAGCCTGTGTATTAGAATTAAGTATATGTGCATCTGAATATTTTTTCAAATCATCTACTAAATCAGTTGTCCGACGCTTTTTTGGGCCTGATAGTAGAGATTGTGAACCGCCGCCATCATCTTCATTTTCATAAGCATATTCAGTGAAGAATGGTAGGCTATCTGGTAAATCTGAAAGAAAACCACATTACAAATCCGTAATCAATGCGCAGTAGTCTTTGAATGTATAAGTAGATAATACGGTCGTCGCTTTAACCTATTTTTTCCACTGCTGAACATTTTTTTTAGACATCGAAAATATTTTCTTATATTTTCAATATACTTCTTAAGAAAACTTGGACGCAAAATATTTGTCTCTTATTTTTAAAAATTCGACTTAAGTAAACTTCCTAACTGAGCACACATACATAGGTAATTAGTAACAATTTCTTGAATATTTTAAGTAAGAAATTTAAGAGGATAACTTACCCATCTCATCCATTGGAACCTCAGATGAGAGGCGTAAAGTTTTTATTCTGAGAGGCGTAAGTATGAAACTATCACACACACACTACTTCACTCATTCGCTCTGTAGTTGGAAAGAAACTGACATAAAATCATTATAAATTTGAATTGAGCGGCGAAGGCGATGCCGTCAGTAAGAGCGAAATGAAACCCTTTAAAACCGCTAAATTGATTCAAAACCTATTTCATTTCGCTCTTTAGGAAAACCGGTTTTTTTAAGGTTAAGGTAGAGCCAAACCTAAATAAAACGCTCCTAATGTACTTAACACTGATTTAGGTTTGAAAATTAACCGGTAAACAAGCCCTGGTATAGATAATAATAAATTAGAGAACAAAATAATTAAAATTAGGTACATATTTGATTAAAGTAAATAGATAAATACAAATTTCAACAAAAAATTACAAAAATAAATTAATAAAAATTACAAATTAAAAATTATTACATTATTATGTTTACTTTTATTAAATTCTACAAGCAAATTTGTCCAGTGATAACCTAAAAGACACTCAGACCTACCCCCTACCACCTTCAAGATGCTATTGTGGCTGTCGCAAACTCTCTTGAAAAATCCTGACAAAAAGTCGGACATTTTGATAAAAGTCCGGATATTTGTCACAAAATGCAAACATCACCCACTTAGTAACAGTAATATTATACGCGTGGTAGCAGACGCTCGCATCGCGAGGGGGTCTCGTTGTTGATTTTTAAATATGATTTATATTTTTATTAAATTAATGAGAAATTAAAAAAGACTTATTGACTTATTTGATATAACTTAATAAGTAGTTTTCACTCGTATTCCATCTCATAAAAAAAGTCCGGACAAATTAAAAAGCCATACAAAGTCCGGACAAAAGCCGAAAAGTCCGGACATGTCCGTATTTGTTCGGACAAATGGTAACCGTATTCATGAGAGAAGTAACTTTTTTGCGCATTATTGCACAGAAGCAACGATATTAAGAGCCCTTTTACAAAATTGCGCCGCTGCCGTACTGATCGGCGCGTAGGTAGATTTGCACTAGTATATATTTCATTTTACGGGTGATGTTTAGAGTCTTATAAAATAATTATTAATGAACTAATTATAATAATATATACATATTTCAGTAATTCAATGATGGTAGATTAGTTTTATGAAAGTTATTGATAGTAATTCTATTTAATTCAATATACGAGGTAAACCTGCATTATGTTTTGGGAAAACTCACGGAGGTAAGATTTTGTTTTTGATAATGAATGAGATGGATAATAAAATTCTTACATTATGTTACAAAAAAAACATATTTCTGATGTCGCAGTAATTAATTTGATCTAATTTATTGTACATTATTTAGAGATTCAGGCGTTTGAAGTTGTGCACATTATCGTTTTTTCCGTAAACTAGCTGCGGTAGACTGATGAGTACAATTAAAAGAAAATAGTATTTGCAAATATTCTATATTAACTTACAATGGGAAGAATAAATCTACTGTTTGCTTCTTTTGGAAATAGTCAAAATCTTTTCTAAGGGGGTAAACGAGGCGCTCAAAAATTACGATTTTTTTGCAAAAAATGTGAAAGGGCTCTTAAATTCCCACGTTTCAGCCATGATTTTGTTCGTGTTGTTGTATCTAGGGTATTTAATATCGTTGCATAGGAGTTATTTGTTCGCCTTTCGGCAAACACACCTGATGCGCGGCGCCCACACGGAGTGCGCTGTAAGTCTTCTGCTTATAACTCACCCATAGGCTGCTAGTCTAAAAAGATTGGCAGGAAGCTTTAAAAGAGTTACTTAACTGACTCTGAAGACCGCGCAAACCTACGGGTGATCATGTTGCTTCTGACCATCAACCAACGATATTAAATACCCTATCGTTGCCGCCAACGCCCTACGCTCGCGCTCAATGTCTTGGTCATCCTTAAGGTCTTCTGTTACAATATGGCCCGGCAGGTAAGCAGGTAATTGTACTGCTGAACCCTAAACCCTCAACAACGCCATTCCGCACAGCCTGACAGGAGGCACATTTTGTGGAGAATTTTTACCCGCGGTGAAAACCATTATCTCAATTTGACGACCTCCGTGGCCGAGTGGTTTGTACGCCGGGTTTCATGGCTGTCGCCGACTCGAGAGGTCCCGGGTACGAATCCCGGTGGGGGCAGATGTTTGTGTGATGAATACGAGCACTTGTACTCCAGTCATGGATGTTTAATATGTATTTATATAAATATACTTATATATGTACAGTATATGTATTCTATCCGTTACCCTAGCATCCCATAACACAAGCCTTATAGTGCTTACTTTGGGGCTAGGCTAATTGGTGTGAGTGTCGGAAATATTTATTTATTTATTATTAATTTTTGTAGTATTGCATTATAACACCATCGTTTGAACATCCCGCATGCATGCTGCTGAACTCGCGGCTCAGCTGGTCCACGTAAAGGTTGTAAAGCCTAGGAGAGGTCAACACCCCCTGTAGCACCCCACATTCCAACCCGTATTCCTCTGATAGCTCGTCCCCCCATCTCACACAATTTATCTGATTCTCATACCATTGCCTGAAAATGCTTGTGAGCTCAGACGGGAGGTTCACCCAATCCAGTTTATACCATTACACTGGATATGACACTATATCAAAAGCTTTGGACATATCTTAGAAGCACGCATATACCGGCGTGGCCTCTAACTGTCGAGATTTAGCAGTATCTGTACATGATACGAGGTGATGAAAATACAGAATAGCACTGCAGGGCACAGGAGACTCGGCTCAAGTCTTCAGCGGCAAATGTGCTGTTTGTTAACGTTGCAAAAAAAACATGTAAGGCGCTTTCGCTTGGCCGATTGATGTTATGAATCAGCGTCTCTCTCATTTATTTAATGCGATTCAACTAAGAATAGGACCGACTGGGCGCCATATTGTGACGTCATAGCTGTCAATTCAAACCAATTAGGTAGAGTCAGCAAAAAACGCCCCCTTTTTTTTTTTTTTTTTTTTTATGTTGGGAAAATGCGTAATGCATACCCCGCCGGTATGTGGCGGGGTTATGTGGGACTCCTCCTCCCCCCAAATCCCGCCCACCCGCCCAGCCAGGCTGGCTCGGCGGCTGTTCGGGATGAGGGGGGGGGGGGGGCTACCCACTAAAAACCCAACAGTGCTCCCTCGTCTGCCGGAACGGGTTTTGTGGGATCCGGGTGACGCTCCACGTTACCCGGCAGAGGTTCCTCCTCCTCCTGATGGTCAGGGGGATGCCCTGGAGCACCTAGGCATCCTCCCTCGACGGGTGAGACTGCGCAATGCGAGCGACGGACTACCCTGTCCGCCGCCCGCAGTCCCACTAGGGTGGAAAGAGGCGGTCGTACTGCCGCCGTCTTCCCCCCGGTCGTCGGCGACGGAGAGGACCGGCCCGGGCGTCCCCCTCGCGGGCCCTCTCTGCTGTCTCCTTCTGTAGGATGACTTCCTCACAGAAGGAGACGACCGCGTTCCAGGATCTGTCGCTGTCCAGCATCGCTTTAAAGCAAAAAACCCCCTAACATGCAAAATATTTATTAAAAATAATATATTTACTACATAGTATGTATTTTTGCAACAGCCTCCATTACTGGAGCTCTATTTTTTAATCACTCGCCTTGCGTCGAATGCTCGATTACTGATTACTCGATTTTTATATGAAAGGACAAGGGCAGACTGATGTCAAGTTTCTTCTTCTTTTATTATGGCATGGCGGCTAATGCATGTCAAGTTTACAAACAGCAATCACGAATAGCTAAGTAAAGTGCCGTTATAAAAAACGACAAAATACAATTGTATTAAACAGCTATGTACTGAGAATTTTTCGTTCCGTTTTCATTGCGGTAATTACCAGTTGTTATTTTTTCTGCGTGAATATTATGCGACTAGTCCGGCGAGTGATTCAAATTTCAAATTAAACGTTAAAAATATTAGATTTTGATACGCCACTACGTGCACACGATCTTAAGAGTTACATCCAATAAAAAAAGCTCAGGTTTCCATTGAAAATCCAAAAATGATAACGATTATTAAAAAGATAACGGGCAATGTTGGCGTGTTTCACGGTATAATGCGATAGTATTACAAGCCTTGGAAAAATAATGTCTTATTTTTTCCAAGGCTTGTAACAAATAGAAAGATTTAAGTATTTCAATTCTATTAAACATTGAAAGTTGTAACACTTGTCCTTGCCAATGGAGTTCCTTTTCCTTTAACATAGAATTTTAGCATCGTCGCGTCGTTTTTGTGCGGTGAGATCGCATGGACATTCCCTAAAAAAAATAAATGTAATCCTTAGGTGTAATCTAAAGAAGTTATTTTTAAATTGAAGCGTAGTAAAAATATATATCGAGATTTAGTTTACCTATAGATTAAAAGACATAAATTAAATAATAGAAAGGAGATCCGTCGAATCCTATATAAGATTATCCCATCTCCGGCGATGAAGAATTGTGACTCAGAAATATATTAAAGCCGCTGAGTCAGTCCCAAAGGCTGGCTGAGCGGCTGAGGGTGGGCGGGATTTCGAGGGAGAATGAGTCCCACGTTACCCCGTCTCTCAGCTACGGGCGGTATGCGTAACAAGGTTAAGAAAAAAAAAATGTCTTTGTGTATAAAATGATTTATACAACCACATATTTGTACTTCTTTTTTCTTACTAATTAACACTCATTTTATATATTGTATGTTTTTGTAAACGATATTTTGGATTTCGTAGAGAAAATACAACCTTTATCTTAACATGATAAAATAATACTACTGTACTGTTGTTGTGGTTTTACTATGTTTGTTGCAGTACATAGTGATAGTTGTGTTTCTGACAATGTAGTAGGTCACAAGGTTTCTGGGTGCAGGGGATTGGGTCTGGGTTGACAACGGCGTGAGTGATGGTAACGCAGTTGTGTATAGGCTGTGGTGGCTGCTTACTATCAGGAGGCGGGTCGTATGCTTGTTTGCTACCCTTTTAAAATCACTGGAACAATACACAATCATATAACTACAAAAAAATCCACGCGGACCAGGCAGCAGACGGGACTGGAACCCGCACCGTTCGCAATCCGGGCGAATGCACTGACCAATTATGCTACCGCGGCCCTCACGGACCGCATCGAAATTCTTCTAGCCATTCTTAAGCTGCAAGGCAGCGCCATCTCTTCGCATTATAGGTAACCCACGATGTCAAATGAATACTTTTACAAGTATTAAACATTTTAAAGAAGAAATAGCAATTATAGTTATAGTAAATAATTATAGTTATTATAATAATTGGTCAGTGCATTCGGCCGGATTGCGAAGGGTGCGGGATCGAGTCCCGTCTGC